GAGTGTAGTGCAAGAAAGGTAATTTCCTGACTTCTGGAATTTACTCTTCAGGTAGATCCCTCAGTAACTGGATGCCAGAAACATCGAAGCACAATGCAGGACCTATATTCCTCTAGAAAGATTAAGGTGGTGTGGGAAGCAATAGAGAGGAAGTCCTTTACGGAATTTAAGAAACATCTGGTTTAGACCAGAAAGCCACATATGAGGTGGTTGTTGTTTGGGTTTAGAGGTACTTTTGTTACCTTGTTTGTTTTCTGAAAAGCTGTGTCATTTTACAAGCCTTTTGATTTGAGAGTTTGTACTTGAACAAGAGAAGTCTGCTAGGCTAATGCACATCATATGGAGAACAGGGTAGGTTGTACTTACGTTTCACTGTCTGTCATGTCCAGTAATTCAGACGGACCTGCAAAAGACAGTCCGGTATGTCATATAGCATTTGTCTGCATGACTAAAAGAGTATGACTATGAGGAGAAGATTCCTGGTGCAAATACATAAAAGAAGCCAACTGAAAGCTCAATTTGCACAAATATGCCAAACTTCAAGGTAATATTTGCTTGTGCAAGCCCTTGCACTAGCAAAATTTTGAATGCACAGTCACTGCCAGAGTGTCAGCACCAGGGAGTAGCTGCCTCTAAATCATACTGGGAATGAATATTCATGGAGTTTATTTTCTCACTCTTCACCTTGCTCAATTAAATGGTTCACATAAGTACGGTGCATTGAAAAGGCTGGTATTCTGGAAACCCTGATATATTGCAAGTTAAAATCTATTGTTAGTATTAGAGGGAAAATGTCATTAGGAAGTTGAAATTAGCCAAAATTCCGTCATGAATGACATCCCTGTGCTACTCCATTTAAAAGCGTTATACAGAATGTAGATCGGGGTGGAATATTCCCAGCGGTCTTTATATTGATATGCAAATCCTGTACTCTACTGGTTAGCAATGATCAGGGAAGTAAGATCAAGAAAAACAAAAAAGATTTTTGTTAAGTGGGACAAAATAATGCATTTATGCTAATGTTCTTTTGTCCTTGATATTCACTACAGGCAGATGTTTATAGCAGCAAATTCCATCATTGAATTACAGTGATATGGAAAGGCTAGGATCTGGATAGCATTTGAAATGAGAAAAACTTTTCCCTTTGCAGTCTGGCTTACTATTCTTCTCTCCACTGCTCTGGAGCATAGTGCCAGATGGTATGGGGCATTTAGCAAGAGGAACAGTGAAACTTTACAGGAATTTTCCTTCCTGTGCATGAACATTTCTCTTCAGCATGCTTTGACTTTGAAATCTAAGAGTCCTCAAGAGCTTACAGCAAATCTCACCTGAAACTGAGGAATTTCACACTACTTGCTTACAAAGGCCTACACACAACCCCTCTATGCTCCTTTCACTCTGAGTGTGTGTCAAAATGGACCAGAGCAGCCTGTCTCTCCTTCACTGCTTTTACAACACACACATGCAGTTATCATCAGGGGCAGACAGCTGCCTCAGCTCCTGGAGCTGCAGGTAGCTCCTTCACTTCATCTCCTGTCATCATGACAAAGGGGTGGTCAAAGAAGTAGCATGCTTAGTCCTCAGCGCACAGAACATTGCATACCTATCATGGCAGTTCTCCAAACTCATTAGCCACTGCTGTTTTTAATGCACAGCACCCTGACTCTACTGCCACACATCCTCATCTCCGCACTTGGCAGTTATGTGTTCGCTTCTCCCTATCAAAAAGAACAATCACTCATGGCCCTTGAGCTCCCATAAGCATGAAGAAGGATACAGGGGGATAAGCAGGGCCCCTTGTTAAGAGGAAAGAAAAATAATGCCTGGGAAACTAAAAAGAAAAAAACCACCACAGATGTAGGAAAAGACTACTTTACATCTCCCAAGAGAAAATCATGTTCTCTCAAAAATAGAGGCAATTTCACATGGCTTGCTGCAATGCCACATCCCAGTGACACATAACCAGGAATGGCCTGAAGTGTGTTAGAAAAGACACTGCCAACTAAACTATTATTTCTGTTCATGGATGGGACAGGGAAGGTTGTGGTGCAAAGGTGGAACACAGCGACTGGGCTGGCTGCATTGGGCATAGAGGTACTTGCCCTGGGAAGCAGAAAAAGGTGTTTAAAATGTTAGGAGAAGGGATGGAGAGAAGTTAGAATAATGTGACTTGAAAGGGAGGAGAAGCTGGAGCAGTGAGTCTGGAGAGACAGGAAACCAAGAGTAAAGGAAAACTGGTCTGGAGCAGGAAGAAATTAGCATGGCTAGGACAGAGGAGCTGAGTGCTGAGGCCTGAGAGGGCAGTCCACTGAGTACAGACCTGAGAAGGTGCCAGGTACATCCTGCCTGTGTGCTAAGGGTGCTAACGTGGATACTGTCCCAAACAAAGCATTTCATGGGGGTGCCCCAACTCCATCCCAGTCACACATAAGGGCCAGATATTAATCAATTAGCAGCAGAACATGGTACCAGGCAGGATTCATTTGTTTCATTCTTTCTGGCCTGTCTCTGAAGTGGAATGTCCCAACTCACACACAGCCTGAGCTGTGCCCTTTACTTCTTTATTTTATTTTCACTTGTGCTTCTCTTAAACCATCTCACGCCCTCCTCCTAATTCCCTTTCCCCTCTTTTTTGGACCTCATTTTTACATCAGTCTCCCTGGCGCTGCCAACCGACCATTCCAAATCCCCCTCTGCCCCGGGACAAAAGCTGCACAGATGTGGGAAGGGCTGGCACTGGGAAAGCTAACGGCACTGTCATCCTGACCCAGCGGGGAGGCGGCTGTTTTACTCTGGGACAAGAGGCAGAGAAAGAAAAGGGGACCAAGGCGCAGAGAGAGAGAGGACAGAATAACCCAATAGAGATCCGGAAGGGAAATGCATGAGTGAGATTTCTATCAAGGAAAACAGCAGGGGGGGAAATAAAAACAAAAGATAGAAATGTGTGGAGAGGTGGAGGGAAGGAAAAAAAAAAAGAGAGAGAAAGAGAGTAAGCCACTGGGGGGCTAAAGAATGGCGGGATGGGGACAGGGGGGTGGGGGTAGAAGTTCGCATGAAAGGAGCTGAAAAGCATGACGCACTGAGGGGAAGCCCAGCTGAGATCACTCTCTTTCCTTAACATCTCCGATAGACTGTCTGTGTAGAATTATTAACTTCATTCCTTCTCTCCTTCTGCCCCCTTTCACTCCACCAAAGCCCCTCTACAGTTTCTCAGGAGGCAAAGCAACCTGAGCTGGGGATGGGAGGAGGGAAGGGGACACTCAAAAGCAGCTGCCCTTTAGCTGAGCTCACTGCAACATAAAAGAGAGACTAAATGACCATATTTCAGAGGCATTTCCAAAATATACAGCACCATGCAGTCCAAAAGGCCTCCAGCCTGCCGCACACCCTGCCCTCTCCAATGGATGTGGTTACAGCTACCCACAGGAGACCCACAGCTGTTAACCCCTACCAGTCTCTTGTCCCGTGAGTACTTCAAAGTGGGGAAGAAGTGTATTTGATAATGTCAGACATTATCAACATTTCTGGGTGTTCATCTTTGTTTAATAACTTGATTGAAGTTGTTAACTGGGGGCAAAAACTGGATTTGGTTCCTTACCTGCAAAGAGGGAATATTTTAAAAGTAATAGTAATCTGCAAAGTCAGACTATTTCAAGCCTTCCCTCAACTCCACACTCCTCTTTTTACCCAGTGTGAAGATTAAGTGTCTGTTTGTTACTGCTAGTGTCTTTTAGCTCAGAATTTCCACTATAACACAGAGGGTGGTTGGGCTATGGGAGCATGCCTTTCATCGTCACTGTCTCTCAGACATGTTGACCTAAAATTTGGTAAACTTACACATTAAAATAGACTATTTAATACCTTATGCCTTCTAGAAAAATTACACTGTTTTCTGCTCTAGGCTCCTCAGAAATATCCACTACCCTAAAACAATCTGCAAATCTAGACATACTGGCAAATGTCAGGCAAACTCACTCTCCTTCAGTGTTGCTTCCTGATGACTATTAAAACTTTGACCCCGAGATACAACTCTGCTACAGCAAAATTTTCCAAAAGACTTCTTTGAAACTCCTGAATCTGGTCAGGATGCAAATCTAAACTCAGTGATGGCTCTTCATTGTTGACTTCGCAGTGCTGAGAGTAATGAAAGCATCCTCCTTCTTAACAGAGGATGCTATCTAATTGAGCAAGGACATTGAGGTTTGAAGTCACAGAAAGGTTCAGGATGGGATGCTTTACTGACTGTTCCACCAGAAGTTCCCACCACAAACTCCTAAAGCAATTGTAAACTTCTTTCCTCTCTTCTGTTTAAAATTAAAATGCCCTAGATGAACTACAGAATTCTTGATTGTCTTTTGAACCTCTAGAGAATAGAAGACATGGAGAAGGCAAAACTTGGAATGTCTTGTATAATGGTTATAAATCATAAATATTTCAGAACTGCCAGATAAAGACACCAAGCCAAGTTTGATTTCAAATACAGATGATGATTTAAGAGGTCTTTTTTATAACAGAGCTTATTAAGCCCTCCCTAATTCTGTTTCTGTTAAGCAAGTAAACAGTTAACTCTTCTCTAATGTGTATGCATTAGGGTATGAGACAGTTGCTGACTGCAGCACTAAACAGATGTGGTTCTGATACCTACTGAGTTTGGCCCCCAGTTTCAAGCTAAGTGTTCCTTAGCCCAGCTACAGACAGATCTTAAAAGGAGACCCCTCCTACTACAAGCAAAAAAAATCCCTGATTTAGAAAGGCAGTCTTGAACAACAGATAGGTCTGTATATCTGCCCTTCCTGCACAGGGGATAGAGAGAAATGGTTTTGCAGGAACAGCAGCCAACACAACTGTTCCTGCAGCAATAAGCAGCTGTTGTTCTGACACCTACTACATTGGTGCTTCAGCTGCTATTCCAGGCTTGTGCTAGTCCACTGCTAAGTATCTGGCAATACTGCATAGCAGTCTCCTTGTGTGACTCATCTCTGTTTTTTCTAATTTAAGAAGGGTTATTTTCCTCCCCTTAATATCTGAAATCATTCCAATTAAGATCACAGAATAACCTCTCGCATTAATGTCCCCTGCATGTTTGCAACAAGCATAGATTCATCTCCACAAAGGACAGTCACGGCATCACTACGCCATTTTCTCTCCTTCATAATCCCAGTGCTATGGGCAGGGGGGGATTCTCCACGTCTGTATCACATTTACTTAACCCCACTAGTTTCACATTAGTCAGTTAAAATTCCTGGTATGGTGTGTTTTGCCTTGTTCTGTTGTTGTTGTTGTATTTTAAAGATATTCAGAAGATTTTCCCTGTGTGATTAATAATAGGTTTTCTGTGCTGTGTGCTGGAGGGTATTTTGCAGTGGAACTCTTATTAACTGTCTCCAGCCATGTATGGAAGCAGACAAACTACAAAGGAAGTATGGCTGAGCAGAGGTAATTGCTAGAACAGGAGTAAGACCCATTTTTATCAAGGGTGGATATCAGCAGAAATGAGAAGCTAGATACAGGGAAAGCCTCAGATATTAGTAGTGTTGGATAGGGTCTTACACACTAATTAATGTTGAGAAGATGCCAGATGTCAGAGAACGTAACACAAAAACAAAAACAAGGACATTGTGATGATGATGATTCAGCAAGAGAGCTCATTTGTGACTGAGAAGTGTCCAGGGTAGAAATGAATTTCATTAATTGCTTGGTGGGAGAAGAGAGGAGGCCCCTATTAGAGCATTGTCCCATGCACTCTCTGATCCCCAGAGAATGTTAAACAAACAATGCATTTGGAGAAGCCCAGAGGACGTATGTCTGGAAAGCTGCAAAAGCTTCCTGCCATCCTTGGGGATAAAGGGGGCAGAGAGGAACTGAGCTGACATTTGCTCAACCTTCTGGTTTGTCTTTGTCTAACAGTCCGTAATCCCTCACATTTCTCTATTCACTTCACAAATTCCCATGGATTCCCTGCTTGCATCCTTACTAGCTTAAATGTTCTCATTTTAAACCTTCACCAAAGGAAAAATAACTGGGTCAGACTATAAGTAAGTTAAGGTATATGTGCCCAAGAAAAATCCTGGAGAGGCAGCCATAATAGTGAATTGGCACAGCTTGTGCGCTGTGAGAAGAGACCAGAGACAGTAAGAAAATTAAGCGAAATTACATCTGTCTATAGAATTCAGAGGCACGTATACACAATGTGACTAATGAGATAATCCAGAGAAGTTAAATAGGAGGTAGAGTTAGCACTGGTAAGACTTGTTACAAATGGGGAGAAAATTAGCCAATATTTGGATATAAGGCCAACTACACTTAGCTACCCATGTGTAGGTACCTATACATAACAGAGCGAAGTAGCAGTTTAGACCCCCTCAGTCAGGTATCTGAGGTACAGCTCAATTGCCCACACACAGATATTCTGTGCCATTCAATACGCCTAGGGGCAGGTCCTGGGATGCATTTGGCATGACAGTTGCTTGGTTGGGCTCCAGCTGCCAGTCAAGTATGGGTCTCCTACAGGCGTTTTATATGTTATCTTGTAGACCCATGCAGATGTCCTGGGTATCCAGGGGCAAATGATATTTGTTATGTTTAGCTAAATGAATGAAGCACGTAGGTAACTGTCAGCTGGATCACTTGCTGGGCTGCAATGGCTACTTTGACTAGGGTTTCCCTTGAGCTAGTCATGCTAGAAGTCTGCTGCTGTTAAAGATGCCCTCCTCACTCCCATCTGCCACTGAAAGAGGACAGGTCTCCTCTAGTGCCTCTGTCATACAGGAGCAAATTAATTGAGTCGTGGATCTCTGTTGACAGTGCAGACACTTAGACCCAACAGATTACATGACACTTATATGTAAACACCTAAACTTAGGAGTCAAGCTTGAGCTAAATCCCACCCCACTTAACACAAATGTTAACAGATGGATTATTGCTTCTTCCTTTCCTATGAGTTTCCTTATGCTTTTTTCCTCTCTCTGTACAATTTCTGCAGTAACTTTTGAGCATTAGCTAATATTTAATCCAATTGCCAGAGGCAGTCTCTATGTTTAGTGCTAACATTGCTGCTGAAATAATATAGCTGATTTTGACATCCAGAAGTCAAAATAGCCATTGATATTTTGAAGAGGGATCAGAGAAGAGTTACCAGAATGTTTAAAGGACTAGAAAACATTTCCTACAGTGCAGGAGGCTGATCACTAGGACTTTAGCTCTGCACACAGAGCAGTGACAATATTACTGTATCACTCTCCAGCAACCAGTGAACAAGATTATGGTAGATCAACAGGCAGAAACTCCTGAATGCAACTGCTTCAAATGTATGTACACACACAAATTGCTGCATAACCTGTGTAAGCGTGCCTGCAATCCTGTTACTGACAAAGATAAAAAGAGTTGAAAGGAAAAAAGGCAAATGGCTTGATCACAGCCTATAAACATAAAATGGAGATCATAAATTTTTGTTATCGTGTGGTCTTGAATTTAAGAGAGACATAATATTGGAACGTTGGATGGGAAGCTAGGCAAATCCAGTCTAGAAATAAACGCACAGATTCCTAACCAGTGTGTTATTAAATATTGAAATAATACCAATGGGTGGATGTGCTCTCCATCGCTGTAAATGTTCTAATGGAGATTAGATGCTTTCTACAACATACACTGTAATCAAAAAACAATTAGTTCAGAGGATTCCTATGCCAGAGGTCCTAACTAGAGCATCACACTGCTTCTTCACAGCCCCCCAACTGATGCAACTGAAAACACCTATCCTCCTCAAAATCCTCCTTTTGTTTCCATACTTTCCCTTTATCTGGAGCCACCGATGTCTTTGCAATCACATTCCTAGCCTCTTGGTCACACAGGCTGCAGGTGGACAGTTTGCTGAGGGTGGTCGAAGATGAGTGAGGACACTTCTAGCCACACGATGTTGTTTTACCCGCCTGGCACTTGGCTGAAGTACAGCTCTCTATGGCTTTTCCCCCTGTGACTCACCATGTTCCAGGATGTATTTCACAATCTCGCCATGCCCAGTCTTGGCAGCATAGTGCAACAAGGAGCAGTGATCAGGTCCTTGGATTAACAAATTAGCTCCTTTCTTACAGCATTCTATGAACTGCAAAAAAACCCACACAGAAGGGTAAGATGACAGGAGCAGAAAAACAAATATGCAGGCAAATTGTTTACCAATTTTCATAGCAGGTCAGTACAAAAATGGAATAAAATGAAGCAAAATATTACTTTAAAGCCAACTTTTAGGCCCCAGTGAAAAAATATCTGAAACTAGAAGCATTGCCAATTATATGGGTTAAGAAGAGCAGTTTATTTTTCCTAAACAAAGAGACATTGCTACTCTGCTGGTGATGAATTATTGCTTGCTAGCAATGCTTGCAAACCACTTTTGGTGAAGCTGTTGGGATATTTTAAAACATATGTTTTTGACAGAAAATTCTGTCTTCTCTACTGAAAACTCCAACTTTTCCTCAGCACTGGAGACAAACACTTTCTGACTAAACCAGAAAACTCCAACCCAAAAATCCTCAGGGAAGTGGGGTTCAGCTGCCCCAAATCTCCCTTCTCACTCTCTGCCCCCTACCCAGGGCTGGCACAGGGGAAAGCACTACACAGGCTAAGAAGGTCAGGAAACAGCAACCAGCCAGGTCTCAGAAATGCTGCAAGGTCTGGGGCAGGGCAGTAGGGGAGATTGTAGTGAGGACCACTGCAGTAAACAGGGAGAGGATTGAAACAGTGGGGTATTGTTTATGATGCAGTATATCTGAAAGAGGGCTAGAAGCTTCCCTATCAAAGCAAACTCAGGCAAGAAGTCTTCAAGAAGCAGAAAGGGGACAATATTTTTTATGACTGCAGGTTGAAGGACTGCTCCCTAGATGCTGCAGCCACAAGCACAGGGGCGGAGGTATAGAAGGGGCACCTGCAGGCAGAGTTTGCCCAACAGTACTGTCATTTTTACAAATGTCTCCAAGCAGGCTTCTTGCAGATAAAATTGCAACCATTAATCACAGTCCTCATCCAAATTCGAGGGCATGTTTTCAAATCCTGACTTGGCTACTGAAAAACACAGCCTGAGTAACTGTCAGATGTGGAACTTCAGACTTTGGGCACAAAATATATTCGCATGGGTGCCTTTTCCTCCCAATAACTAACAAGACCAAGACACTACGTGCTCTGAGACGTCCATCAGATGATAAAACAACAAGCTGAGGTTTGTTCTACCTGGTCTGGTGGTTGCCTAGGTAGGAGTTAAGAAATCTCTAGCAACTCTAGGGGCTTGACCACCAACCTCACTGCCATAAAATATCCTTTACTGTGTAAGGATGTGTCAGAACTACCCTGCTGTTCAGTGTTACATTTACCAGTATAGTAATTTCCCTGTTAGTAACTGACACATTGCTCTGTGCAGTGCTCTATGAATCCTGGGCTGAAAGGTGCTGTCTAACACCAGATCCTATTCACTTGAATTTCACATCTCACCTGACTGATGTGTTCCCCTAATATTCAGGGTTTCCTGGAAAGGTTGTAAAATAGCACTTGCCAGCAGTCCTTACAGCAGTCTATTTAGGTTTTGGGCAGAGGTGTGATAAAATTTACAGTATATCAGACCTTCAAAAAGTGCTCTGTACTTACCTTCAGCAGATCACCAGCTATGACTGCCTGTAAAAGTGCTGCAGAAGATAAACAGAAAACTAATGTTAGACAGAAAGTATTATGAACACAGCCTCACAGCTGAGAACATAGCTCATAGTATGTGCAAATTAAGACCAACGCCTCAATCCACTTGCATTCTCATATACTATCCAATCCACTTGCATTCTCATATACTATCAAAACCAATGCAAACCCTGCACTGGCAGGCAGATGTTACATGAAAGCTGTATGGACATTAAGCCAGAATTTCCAATGCTGCCTTGGAACTGTATGCTTCTATCTGAATTTTTGTCTTGAGACACTTCAGGGACCTTTTAACAGTGTCCACAGGATGGGCCCAAGTCTCTGGCACCTGAGTCATCACTGAAGGTGTCAATGTCAACCACAGAGAACCTGAAAGCATCCTCAGACCTCTCAGACTTTATTCATACTGATGATAGAGTGGTCAGTCAGCCTCAAATACATTGAGAGTCTCGAGTTGCAGATGATTAGGTGTCAAAATGTAAATTTCTTAGTAATTATTTATATTACAAAATCATTTTGACATGCTGGTGGGCAGCAAGTCCCCTGGGTTTGGCAGGCAGGGTCAAACACAGAGCAGGAGCCAGTTCCCACCTTTTTAGTCTTCGTAATTTGAACAGACACAGAAGGAAAGAGAGACAAAGAGAGGCGAAGTGAACAAAGGCTCACAGCAAGGTAGGACAGAGCTGTGCACAGAGCCGGGGGCTGCTCACTATCCACTACTGTCTGCCTCATGCCTGTTAAAAAGGAGGAGGAAGGCAAAAACCTAGGACTCTAGTGCCCCATGTACAGGCTGCATTCAGCTAAAAACACCATGGTGGCAAGTAACCACAAACGTGAGAAGTTGTTACAAATCTACTGCTATGCGGCTATTTCCTTCTTTTCTCCACCCTCTCCCTATCATGATATATATAGTAAAAAATAATTATGAATAATCTTTCTGGGAAAACACTTACTTGATTTGCATCTTAGAAAGCATTAAACATCTGCCTTAGTTCATACTTTTTGAAGAGCACCTAAGCCCATTTCTGTCTTTGAGTCTAGGCAGCGCAATCAAGTCAAGCATTTGCTCAAGTGCCATCCTTGATAAAGATGCCAAAAGTTCATGTAGGGAGGCAAGGGGGAAAGAAAACCATAGTATAGCCTTGGCTCTGAAAAATAACACATAGGAAACTGCACAGTGTGAATTCCACAAGGAGCTTCTTATAGCTTCAGAAATGACGACACATCCCAACCAAACACTGCAGAAGAGGAAGGGCATGCAAAGACGACTCAGCAAATGTCCCTTTCTTCGAAAACCCCTGGGATTGCGCATGGCTTTCTGGTCTCAGCAATGCCTCATGGCCTGGCCATGCAGCAGCGGGAAATGCAAAAACCCAGTCCAGCTAAGCTCTGACTTGGGAATGCAGTAGCAGCAATTCTTGTAACATTGGATTTAGGGCAGTTTTACAATGACCATGAACTAAACTAAGCCCTACAAAACCTCCCTGGCATCTGTGGGAGCCAGGGTTTGAGGAATGGAAAAAGACAAACACCAGCAGGTAAGAGCTAGAACTGGAAAGATACATGTATATTTTTTCTTCAGATTTCATTTTCTGTGGTTTACATCGTTTTTGTTTTTGTTTTTGTTTTTTTTCCCCCAGTAGTTCTAATACTGGCTCGGCCAAAATTAATAGCAGAGCAGAATTTAACCTTTGTGTCATTCATTTTATCTTTTGCCTCCATTTTCGCTGATCTGGTCTGACTGCCACGTTTATTCTGTGGGCTACTGCAGTCTGGACTTGGGTGTAAATATTTTGCTCTCCTCACATACGTGAAAATCAAATGAACTGGTGACACCAGCTTCTCATTGCCTTCAACAAGCAGTATTTTAAGACATGGCTTCCCTGAAGTTTGCTTCCTAAGAGGCAGAGATACATGTTCTTATGCAAACCATGCTTAAGACTATAGTTCAGAAAAGCCAGGAGACAGATCTAGAAAACTATGAAGTGGAAAGAAAAGCCTGGAAAGTTGTGAGTGTTGAGTATCTGTAACCAGAGGTTGGTCTTGTGATAAGGCTATTACGATAAACCAGCTCTAAAACACGTTCAACATAATTAGACTAATCTTCTCCTCTTTTTCCTAAGCCTCCAATCCAGCAAAGCATTTAGGCAGATCCTTAGCTTTGATCTAATTGCATTCTTTTCACCAAGTCTACCTGCACACTTAAAATTAAGTGCTTTGCTAGAGTAGAACCTATTGCATAAACGAATACATTGCAGATCAACAAAACCAGCTGGCATAACAGACAGATTAGACTATAGTAAAATAATTCAGTGCTATAAGTCAGGATGCTGGAAGACTTAGAAGCTATTGAACTAGAAATGGAGAAAGGTTCTTTAGCATAGAGAACACGTTTACATAAACATATGAATGCTGCTTAGCACGCTAACCCCATAAATCCAAATCGGACTGCTGGGCATATTGAGGAGGAGGGTGCAGATGGCAAAAATCACCTGGCTGTTAAAGAGATGGTGAAACAAGCAAGCAGATGGCATTGACAAGAGAGAGCAGACTGAGAAACTGGACAAAAAATGCTGTTAACATGCAATGCCAGGCTAGCTTTAAATTAAAGAAGATTAAAGTAAGAATGGTTTTATTTCTTCTGAGAAACATTGCACCACTGGTGTAATATATAACATGAATTATGCAATTGTTTTATCATATCATAAAACACCTTCAGGTCTTAAAGATGCCTAAAAAACTACTTGATTACTTGATTTAATAAATATTTAAATCAAGCCATAATTTTCTCAGCTTCTCCTAAGACAAGCATTTGTCATAACTAATAAGACTGTTTTACTACCTTTTTCATTTATTTAGCATGCAGATTTATTGCTGATGAAAGGTGACAGCTTGACAAGACTGGAGACTGAAGTGCTCTGTCCATATAACAAGGAAGCACTCGGTCTGCTGCAGTGGTACACTCCCCAGGCTGCCTTCTCAGCAAAGCTCAACCCTCTCTACTGGTACACCCCTGCTGACAGCCCCATCTCCATCACTGAACTCTTTGCTGAAGTTGCCAGCAAAGGTGTCAATCACCACCCAGGGTGATGGATCTTGACAGAAACAATTACCTTCTACGATATGGACACCCAGAAATGCACACTATGTAACAGCTCCTAGAGACTAGCAACTTTTAGTTTCCACTAAGTGAATTTTGAGACAAGGTTTTAACCATCCCTGTGGGCCAACCTACAAAAGAAACCTCATTTAAAAAAACAAACAAACAAACAAAACCAAAAAAACAAAAAAACCCCAAACAAAACGAGCAAACAAAAAAAAAACAACCCCAAAACAGACAAAAAAATCCCACACACTTGACTTCCAAATTAAATATTGAACAGCTACAAGTGGATAATGCACTAACAGGAAAAAAGCCATGTTAAAAAGGCTGCTAATCGAATTCTGGTAATGCTGCAAGCTACCGCAGCTTGAGACACACAGAAAACACCTACTAGTACATCCACACATGCCGAAAACAATACCTTTCCTGAGGCATGTGTCACTCATATTATTTCTATGTTAGTGCCCACTGTTTCTATTTGAAACAGCTATTTTTATTTCATATTCTAAAAATGTATGTTAATGTCGCACAGTTACAATAAACATTTTTGTTTCCCAGCCGTAAAATCAACCTACTAAATCACAATTGCTCTCTGGTTCTGCATGTGAAGTCCGCAGCATTAAAACAGCACTGCAAAATCAGGCATTAAACACTGGGAAACAGAAAACGAAGGAGTGAGGTATTTGTACCCAGTAACTTCAGAGGTTGCCTAGAATGTCTCACAGGGCTGCCTGGATGGTCAGAAGAGAAAACAAACACCCTGTAGAGAGCAACCTGGTGTCTCTGCAATAGTTCCTGTTGCACATCTCCCTCCATGGACTACAGAAGTTCTAGGGAAAATGACCTCCAACTTGCAGTACCTAAATCAGGAGCCATACTAAGACAGAGAGAGGATCCTTCAGAATGGCATGATGCCGGGAGACATGATCACCTGTGAGAAGGACCACCAAACAAGGACAAAATGGTGGCTACTTCTTTTAAGGGTTTCCAAAGTATGATACTCCTGGGACCAGGCAATGCTCATGGTCTCAGAAATTTTGGGATCTCTTTGTATAACATACAGGTGCAGCATAGAACACTTTAAAAACGTAAGGGCTAACAAAGACAGACCCACGACTGCAACTCATTAAAAGAAGGCAGTAGGAGAGGGACAGAAGTCATCGCCACCACCTCACTTCAAAAGCAATGAAAATTCTCAGAAGCATCACGAGTAAGGAAAACCTCAACCAGCAACTACCCCCTCCTGTCTGCCCTGCAGGAAAATTCTTTCCTGATCCCAAAGCTGCTGATCAACTTAACGCCAAGAACATAAGTAGGGCTCGGCACCAGGCTACTATCATACCAGAATTTTGCTGCTAAAACACTTTCTGAAAAGAACATGGAGAAAAAAATTCTTATCAACCCTTGTAGGTAACATCACAGGATCACAAGGTTCCTTGTTTAAAGTAGTTTGGAAGTTAGTAAGTTAGTTAAATAATCAGTGCGTCAGTGAGAGGAGTTGGCTTTCACTGGAAAGAATCTCAAAGAACAGTACGCATCTGCAGTCTGCCACCATCAGTGGTACAGGAGTAATGTGTCTTTTTAGATGAGTAAAGTTATTCATTGACCATAAACATCTTCTAGAATTTACCTGTCAGATTGCACACCTGATCTGACCCTTTCCATACCAGTTGCACCCACTACTGCTATACAAACTAAGCCACAGTGAATGCTGACAAAAATGTATGGCTATTTTAAAGCTTTCACCATCTCCAGGCATTTCTTTTCTTTAGTGAGGGTCTAAGAACTGTCACTGGAGGGAGTAGAATTATTTAGAACTATGTTTAAAGTATAAATACCACACAAAGGAGTTGTCACATCCATGATTAAAACGCAGCCAATTTGAGATCT